GTATATCTCTGTATGCAAACCGCAGCAAAAGCTGTTCAAAGCCTGAGTCGTCTGTACAGGATGAAAAATGCCACTCTGAGGTGTGATAGTGATCCAGACCTACCTGCATAGAGCTGATGTGATCAGAGAAAAGTGTGTGTGGGGTGGTGGAATAAATCATGAGAGATAACAAAAGGAGTAAAGAAATAATCAATAGTTTAGATTTAGTGCTGTATAAATCACTGCAGCATAGTCTGTTTTGACTCACGTCAGCATTCAGAATAAACTAAGCTGGGACAACATATATAATGTCCTGTTGTTGCTCTTTTTATGTGCCTGTCCACTTTGATCTGCTATTTCAGATGCTTTTTGGCTGCTTTGCTTGTAGTGAAACTGCTGCAGGCGATTTGGTTTGGTCACAGAACAACTACTATTGGTTTTTCCACATGGCAGAGGTGTCAGGTTTTTCTGAGAGGCTGTTATCATTCCGTAGCTCAAAGATTCCAGATGCAGAGCCGGTAAAGTGATTGACCTTGCAGCTACGTCTTCAGCAACATGTGGCGTGTCTCATTCAGTCTGGGAGGCGAGGATCGCAAGAAGAGCCGAGAGCCATTAACCTCGTGTCTTTAGCGGCAGATTAAAATTCTCAGCTGTAATGTCAGCCTCTGAAGAAATTTGTCACAAAAAAGAAAGTCTGAAAAGTTTTATCACGATCATGAATGATCAACTTTTTATTTAATTTTTATACATTTAGTACAGATGGATGAAACTGTCATGAAGTGAGTTTGGGGGTTATTCTGTTACTTGTGTTAGTTTTAGTTTCATGTTTATTTGTATTTTTGAGTGTTTTTGTAATTTTTGTAGTTTAGTTCTCTGTTGAACTGTTTCTCGGTTGGTCCATCAGCGACTTACACACCTGGTTCTCATTTGCTCAACAGCTCACCTGATTCTCATCCACTAATCTTCCATCCCAGTTATTTGCAGTTTTCTGATGGGTCTGATTTTAACTTTGTCTTTAAAAGCATTACTTTTTAATTCACCTGTTCTGTGTTTGAGCCTACATTTTAGTTTTCATTACACAGAAACTGTGTAAAATATCAAAATGTTACTTCACTTTCCATCATTTCAGTTTGTAGTACGGTGTTAAATATCCATTGAAATGTTTGTGAGCAGCTGGCTATTCTGAACCGCTTGTAATTTCTCAGACATTCAAATTGTGTACATGAGCATTACACGTCACATTTTTACTGTGAAACAAACACATGTCCTGCACAATTACATTTAAAAAAGAAAAACAAAACTGCTGCTTTCATTCAAACAATCCAGCCTGCAGGGTACTATATGTGGCGTCTGTAGGTTTCTGAACTGGCCGTAGATATGAGAGAACATGTGTCTGCATCATCCCAGTGATGAACCATTGACCTGATCAGAAAACACTCCACCTCCTGCTGTATACAAGTCAGATTAGGCTGCAGCTCCCTGTGATAACGAACGAGATGCAACGGGTACAGAAAATAAATGGATACTGATCAAAGGTTTGAACTCCTCCTTTAAAATGAATGAGCAGGTGTGATTATCAGTGCTAAAGTAATTAGCTGTGTATTGTCAGGTCAATGGGCAGACAGTTCATTGACACAGCAATGTTTGTCTGATTATTTATCTTCTGTTACTGTCCCCCATCGTGGAGCGAAAAGGAGGAATTGGAAATATCCTCTGTCCATCCTTCAATGTTGTGAATGGAATAACTTGAAACATAAGTGAGGTATCAACTTCCTTTTTGGTGTGTGGCTGCATCTAGGCATAAGAAAGGTTCTTATTGAAAACTGGGTTGCCCAGTCTAAATCCAAGATGGCCACCACCATATAAACCTTGTGAGACTGGCAGAGAGCTGAGATCATGACATCCTGTGCTCTTTTAGAGCATTTAGAGTTTAGAAACATTGTTTAGAATATTGCAAGAGTGTGGGA